ATTCATTAAAAAAGAAAAAAGAAAAATAAAAGGAAATGACAATGCAGGTAGAATGTCCATGACTAAATTTTTGATACTGCTGGAGAGGTGATCTCTAAGGACATTTCATAGAGTTCAATTTCATTTTGTTTTATTTTGGGTTTGGTCAAGGCAAAAGACAGCATTATATAAGTTAAGTTGTCCCCCCTTTGGCTTATTAAGCAGAGTACACAGTGGTAAAAGGAAGTTCAGAATATAAATTCAGAATATAAATAATACACATCTTCTGGAACATCAATCTTACTTGAAGACTTCAACAGCTGAATTCACAGACACATAACGAATATACAAACAGATGTATTGAGGAGTAGATGCTAAATTTATTTGAATTTGCAGGATAAAGCACTAGTCTTCAAATACATTGATTGTAAATAGACTGAATTGAGCAAAGAGGAAGTGCACTGTTTTGAAGGAGGGAATGTAAATACACATGTGTGTGTGTGTGCATATGAGAGAGATTTCTGTGTGGTGAACTCACAGAAATGAAGTGAAAATCCCAAAGAGACGTCAGATCCAGAGGTTTATATACCATTTTTTAAAACAGCAGTAAATTCTTAGAGAAGTGACAAGACAAAGGAAGACCAAGACAGAGGGTTTTGAGCCTATAGGACAGTGAATTCTGGGAAGGTAAACATATGGGGAAGCTAATGGAAGACAGGGGTTATTTTAGCAGAGTTTATTACATATATTCCTCTCCTCTTGGTACCATCCATCAGCTAATAAGAGCCTAGAGTCTTGCTGAGAGCAGGTAGGGGGAACACCTTCACAAAGGGAAATTTATGCCCCTCTTTTAGACAGAAAAGGTGAAGATAGAGAGCTGCTTTCTGTGTCTGATGTTTCTCAGTTGCCTTCAACTCAAAATAATTCTTATGGCAGAGTAACATATTTTGGATCGCATATTCTGATCCCCTTCAAGGACAATATGCAGAGGTCATGAAGACCATGTGGTGCCAAAAATAATAGAAAGACCCTGAAATTACAGAGTATTTCCACTGTGAGCACAGAAGTGATCCAGTCATGAATACATCTTGGAGTCTGACCAAAAGGAGCAGGGTCTGAATAAGGTTAAATTGCTCCCGCTCCCTCCTTTGTTCACCTCCTCTCCATACTAACACTGTTGTAATGAGAGTAACTGCAAGTAAAGTACTTGCACAGAATCATAATGGCTAGAGGCCTAGCCAGCTCTACCTTGGGAGAAAATCTGGGAAGAAAATCAGGAAAAAAGGGTTTGTGCTGAAGACAAAAACTGAAGAGAACAAGGGCTGGAGGGAAGAATTCAGTGATATGAAAAGGATTAAAATAATCCTATACACTTGAGAGTGTCTGGGGAACTGGTTTTATATCCCTGCAAGCTACAACTTGTATAAACAATGAATTATACTCTTGCACACTTGCTTTTGCTCCTTTCTTTGACCCATTAGTAATACTGCCAGGAAAGAAACTTGGGTTTGAAAAGAGCAGAAATTCATTCTCCAGGTGATCTGTGTTGTGTGCTTAGAATGGAGCAGTTGAAACTTCTTGATGCTTATGTTCCCGCTGCCCTCCACCCTACTCTGGGGAAATTGGAAGGGAATCAAGAAGAAAAGCATACTGCATCTGTAAACTCCAACTTCACAGTCTTCTAGTCATAAAGGACTTTTGATAGAAGAGTTTGAGAAGCACTCAGAAAGGGACCAGGCTTAGAAAGTCCTAAAGCCCTTGTTTAGCATTGCAGCTGTGGGATCTTGGGAGAGTTTTCTTGCATCCCGAGTCCCCTCTTTCCTTATTAATCTTATCCACCAAAGGTTGCAGGAGGTATTCCATGCCTGATAGAATAGTGGTAGACAAAAAGGAAAGCTAGGAGCTTTTTAAAAATTCAGAAAATGCATAAATTTATACATAAACCAAGGCTTGATGGAGAAGAGGTGCTCAGTAAACACTTGGTGAATGACTGGATGCCAGTGCCAATTCTGACACTCTTAGAAAAACCAGCCAAAATGTGCCTCTTTTAGAAAACAGTATTTTGATACCCTGGGGCAGTATTACTTGGTTACACCAGGTACTTTGAAAAATACTTCCACTTTTCAAACCCAGAGCAACATTCTGATGTGTACTATGAAAAAGCCAAACTCTGCAAAATATTTGAAGAGATTTATGCTGAGCCAAATGTGAGGACTATGACCCATAACACAGCCCCAGGCAGTCCTGAGAACACGTTCCCAAGGTGGTTGGGTTATGGCTTGGTTTTACACATTTTAGAGAGACATAAGACATTAATACATGTAAGATGTGCAATTGGTTTGATCTGGAAAGGCAGGACAACTCAAAGCAGGTAAAGGTGGATTCAAAGATGTTCTGATTGGCAGTTGGTTAAGAGAGTTATTATCTAAATATCTGGAGTCAATACAAGGAGTATCTTGGTTTAGATAAGGGACTGTGAAGACCAAAGTTCTTACTATGTAGATGAAGTCTCATAGGTGGTCATCTTTAGAGGCAATAGATGGCAAATGTTTTCTCTGCAGACCTTCAAAAGGTGCCAGACTCTCAGCTAATATCTTCAAGATCAGAAAAAGACCTGGAAAGGGAAGAAGATTCTCTACAGAATGTAAATTTACTCCATAAGAGACAGCCTTGCAGGGCCATTTCAAATTATGTCAAAGAAATATATTTTGGTGTAAAATACTTTTCTTTCTTTCAGGACCTGCTATTTGTCATGTGATACGATACTAGAGTCAGGTTAGAATTTGGTATCTTATTGCCACAAAGGGTCTGTTTGGTCAGTCTTAAGATCTCTGTTTTAATGTTAATACTGGTCAGTTGTCCCTGAATTACTAAGGGAGAAGCATCTAATGAGGCAAGTTTGATGTCCCCTTCCTATCACAGCCTGAACCAGTGTTTTAGAGTTTTTTGGAATCCCTTTGGTCAAGAGGAGGGGTCCATTCAGTCCTTTGGGGACTTAGAGTCTTATTTTTGGTTTGCAGGTGCTTTACAGTGTTTGCCCCATAGAGGCAGAGTTCTAGAATTTCCTACTTTAGTAACATTTAGTAAACATTGTGTGTCCACACAGTCACCACTGAGATAGCATCGATGGCTTACTACTAAGTTCCTGCAAATGTATCTCTAAATATATTCCTTAGAGAGCAAGCACAGATAAGAAGGAAAGTGAAGATGGGTAAAAACTAACTTTTTGATGCAAGCATTCCTGGCACCCTTCAGTATCAACATAAGTATTTTTAATCAATTGTATTTTGCCAGAGGATGGGCCTCTGTTAGGAGTAGTAATTGCTGCACTTCACTTCTTGCCGTGACTTCAGGGAAAGGTTGACCCCAGGCACTGACCTGAGTACTTGGTGAGAGCCCTGAGGGCTTTCATCTAGTACAATTTTTGAAATCAGCTTTTATATTTTGTTGACTTTCTGAAATTCTCCAAAGCAAAATACATCTCTCTGTAGAGGTGTTATAGGAAAAGGGTACTGATCCAGACCCAAAGAGAGGGTTCTTGGATCTCATGCAAGAAAGAATTCGGGGCAAGTCCATAGACTAAAGTGAAAGTAAGTTTATTAAGAAAGTAGAGGGATAAAAGAATGGCTACTCCATAGACAGAGCAGCCCTGAAGATTGCTGGTTTTTATGGTTATTCCTTGATTATATGCTTAACAAGGGGTGGATTATTCATGCCTCCCCTTTTTAGAACACATAAGGCTAACTTCCTGATGTTGCCATGGCATTTGTAAACTATCATAGTTCTGGCTGGAGTGTAGCAGTGAGGACAACCAGAGGTCACTTTCGTTGCCATCTTGGTTTTGGTGGGTTGTGGCCGACTTCTTTACTGCAACCTGTTTTATTAGCAAGGTCTTTATGGCCTCTATCTTGTGCCGACCTCCCATCTCATCTGTGACTTAGAATGTCTTAACCATCTGAGACCAGATCTCAGCCTTATTTTATCCAGCCCCTATTCAGGATGGAGTTGCTCTGGTTTAAATGCCTCAGACAGAGACATGACAGCCTAATATATTTCTCTGGCAAGTGGTTCCAGGATGGGGTGAGGTATGCTGCAGGCTTGGCAGATCTTTGGAAAACATGTTCAAATGAGCTGTTGGTATAGAGAGTGTTGTGGCACTCACAGAACACTGTCTTCATTTTATGAAGTCATATTCAAAAAATTAAACTTTATTTTCCTAGCCAAGGTAATGTTAGCATTTAACTATAGCAATCGACTTTTCTATTAGGTAGGAACTGTTGTTTGCAAATATTAGAAACTAGACAGATGTGTGCTAAGAAAAAGTAGAGAGAGAGAAATATATCAGCTTGCCAGGTTTCTCACAGAATCCAGTTTCTCAGGAAACACTAGAGGCAAGGTCTGGACTCGACTCCAGCTCCTCTTTCTGCTCCCTAGTTCACGCAGCAGAGCAAACCCAGGTCTTTGTGGTACACACCACGTCCTTGTGCTCCTCCCTGCCCTTGGCTGTGCTCCACCCTTGGACTTGTGTGCCATTCCACAGACCCCTCTCCCTTCAGAGCAGCATTCCCCAACCCCTTTTCCAGGAGAGCCTGGCTTCCCACCCACTAGCTATCAATCACCTCACTTTTCCTATCATTGCACTTAAACCAATGGGAAACTGATGCGTTTACGTGTTATCTATTCCCCATACTTGAATGTAAGCTTCATGAGAAGCTTATTCGCATCTCTTCCCATCATCTAGAGAGACAAATGCTTCTCACATGGTAGGTTCTGAATAAATATTGACTGAATTAATATATAAATACAGGTTCAGCTATGAGGGACCCACCAATCAACTTTCCTATCAGGCAGAAATCACCTATGATTAGGGGTAACCGGGCAGGTACAGGAGACTATTATGAGTGAGGAGATACTCCCCAAAATGTCCACTACCACTTGGCTAGGTCAGACAGATCAGAATTTCCTTCCCTACCCACCAATGAATGTTTGATAATTTGAGTTTTAAAATAAACTGACAACAGTTAACAGGAAAAAAAGGTATACACATTTATTAACACATGTATGGACATGGGAGTTATACACAAAGAATGAGACTCAGAAGAAGGGCTTAGATGACTGAAGTTTTTATACTAGCCTTGCAGGACAGGAAGAATAGGGACTTTGAACATGTCAGGAAGGGGTTATGGGAGGGAGAAAGGAGGAAAGGCCTGGGAGTGAAGGGGTCCTGTTAGGCAGAGGGAAACCTCTCAGGTAGCAGCTCTCAGAAGGAATAGATGGGAGCTTGTGGTAAAAGCTTCTCTATGAGAATCTTATATTGTCAGACTTCAGCCTCCTTTTCCTGTGAGTTAATCTTTCCTAGATCCAGATAAGAGGTCCTCAGAGAAAGTCTGTTTGCATCTGTTGTTTACTTCATTTTACTAATGTGGATTTCCTCTCCAGATGCAAATCTCCCCAGCAAAAGGGCAGCTTTTCAAGGCTGTTTTTGTGATCTGCAGCCCCTCGGAATAGGCACCTCAAAATATGCCAAAGGAGTTGAGATATTCTGGTTTCTTTCAGCTATGTTAGCCGACTTCTAGTGTTTTCCCAACTAAACAAGGAGATATGTATTACACAGTGGCCTTGCCTTTGAGCTACTTAATCCTAATCCCTTCACCAATCCAATCAGCGATTCCACCAACTCAAAGAGCTAATTGTGCCATTCATAGAGGATCCTGGTATGAGTCCCAGTTATGTCAAATAAATGCTCTAGTTTCCTATTCACTCCAACATATGTGAAAGGAATTGCAAATTATAAGTTTGAGATTCATATTTATAGTTGACCCTCATTATTCACAAATTCCATACTTGTGAATTTGCCTCTTTCTGAACTTTATTTGTAACCCAGAATCAACATTCACTGTGTTTACACATTTATTTATGGACATGTGTAGAGCAGTAAGAAATTGGAGTCATCCAACATATGTACTCCCAGCTGAGGTAGAACCAGGTGATGTTCTGCCACCTTGTTTCAGCTCTTATCGTAAACAAGCATCTTTCTTCGTGGTCTATTAATTGCCACATTTTTTGCACTTTTGTCCTTTGATTTTGCTGTTTAAAATCGCCCCCAACTATAGTCCTGAAGTGCTGTCCAGTGTTTTTAAGCATAGGAAGGCTGACATGTGCCTTATAGAGAAAATATGTGTTAAATAAGTTTCATCATACATGAGGTACAGTCCTGTTGGCTATGAGATCAATATTAATGAATCAATACTATTTATTAAAATGTCTTTAAAGAGAAACACACAAAAAACAAAGTTATATATTGATCAGTTGACAAAAATGTCATGACCAGAGGCTCACAGAAACCTAAGCCTGTGTTTCCCCTAGGAGCAGTGGCTCAAAGGAACAAGGACTCAGTACCCGTGATTCCAGTATTCAAAGTGACTTGATAGAACATAACTGTTGTGATTAATGAGAATTGATCTGGTATGTTAATCCAGTGAAACTTAGTTCAAGGGATTTTCATACCTGTTTTTGTTTGCTACATCATGTAGATCTCAGTTGAAGCACATCTTTTATTTTATTTTTTTAAATATGCATCCTTTCAAAGAATCATTTTGTTTTTCTTTACCGCTTGTCTGAGTTGATCCCAGGCCGTTGGTGTCATGTTTGTGAGAATTGTATAAACATATCCATAAATATTGGGAACGCAAGCACTGTTCTACTGTTGACTGGAGAGAGAGAGATTCTATTTCTTTAGTTCACTGTTGACAGGCTCAGGAAAGGGCTCATTGAGCCATGAAAGTTGACATTTGTCACAATTCATTCCACCCTCCAGAGTAGCGAAGCTGCAGGAAACATCTTCCATTCTTTCTAACATTTCTGGTCACTCATCATATGGCATGCCACTTGTCTTGGTCCTAAAATTAATTAAGAAATAATAATGGAACAGGGGAGGTAGGAAATAGGTAAGATGAATAATGATTAAATTCAATGCAATTATTATGAATTGACTGTAGAGTAAATGGAAAGGACAGGAGATGATAGCCTTTAAGACTGGTGGAAACTCATCAGCAAAGGGTAATTTGGTTGCTGAAGTCAGGCTTCAAACTCAATGAGGATTATGCAGGGCACAACTGAAAAGAAAGGTGGACTGGTTACACTTGCACATTTAGGATTTGCAGATGGTCTTTTTCTGTCAGCCTTGGCTTGCTCATTATGCTGGCTTTCCCCCATCCTGAGTGACTAATCCATGTTGCCATTTCATCATCATCAATCTTTCCTTTATTCAATGTGCATTTACTTGGAGCTGTTATGAGTTGCTAGACAAGATGAGACTGAGAGATGCTATACTGTGTGAAGTTGAAGTGTTTGGACTGTAATTCAAGAGTGCCTGGATTTGAATTGCAGCTTGCCACTTATTAACTATGTCATTTCAGTCTGGTTAATTAACCTGCTTGGGCCTCAATTTCCACAACTGTGAAGTACAGATAAACACCAGGTCCCATAAGGCTCTTGTGAGGATTAAAAGAGATCATCCTCATATTGATGCTCTGTGCAGTGCCTGGCATAGAGCAAGTACTTGTCTGAGAAACAGAAGAGTGGCCACTGTGCCAAGGTGTCCTTAGAAAGAATGGTGCAAGACAAGGGTCAGCAGGCCAGAATCCTGCAGGGCCTCACAGGGAGCCAAGGCTAAGATGTTTAAACAAATTCTTAAATGTCTTTGCATGGTTTGAAGCAGAGCACTGACAACATTGTTTGCAAGAAAAGAACGTGTATTGCAGAAATTATATTTAGTATAAATGATTTTTTAACTAGAAAAATTTGCATGACAGCCTTAATACTCCACTTTTCTTCAGCCTGGGAGTGAAGGGGTCCTGTTAGGCAGATGAGCTACCCTACAGTGCTCCTAAATACCCTCACATAAAATCCTGCTAGGATGCACTAACTTTGATGTTGATGATGAAAGCACCGGTGAAAGAAGCATTAACAACTGATATCCATGACATGGCTTACCCTTGTCAGTTTCACGGGCATTATTTTACTTAAACCTCACCACTACCTACCACTGTCTTATCCCATTTTATGGATGAGGAACTGAGGCTAGAAATCCCACAGCTAGGAAGCACCTGTATTTCCACTGCACATTTTCTGCTCCAGGGCTCGCTGGTTTCTCACTGATTTCCAGAGCGGACTCGAATGTGATGGAGACAGCCCTGAGGTCAGACAAGTTGTCTTAGCTCTGCCTCTTGCCTTTGTGCCCTCAGTCTTCCTATTTGAAAAATGTGCATAATACCACCTACTTCAGAGTGGTTGTGAGGAATCACTGTGTACAAAGCAGTCAGCATAGTGCCAGGCATATAGTAACCACTCCTTAAATGTTCTACTATGGTTATTATTTTGCGGCATTGCCAGTTCACTATTGTGTTCTCCGGATGTAATTCACAGAAGGATTAGAATGCTTTAAGTTGTTTCCTTAAAAGGCTCCTCCTTCCCATTAACTAGCTCCCTTGTCTCTGAGACAGCATGTCATGTATGATAGAAACACAGCCCACCCCCGTAAAGGACTGCTATGTCATTTACACATCTGTTCCTCCTCCCTCGATAGGGGTGGAACAGAGAAGCTCTCTATGCACACATTCAGGAAGCTAAGCCCCAATTCTTTCTAAACTAGTTTTCTCCATATTATGCTTTTTAATTAAACCTTTCAAGGTTTAATTATGAAACAACATGAGTCATCTTTGTTTCTGAAAATGTATTTGTGGTTTGGCTAATTATGTAGTGAGATTTAATATGATTTCTCCTCATGTGTGAAATTAATACATTGAACATTTTTAAAAGGAAAACATCTAAAGCATTTACCTGGGCACCAGATGGCGAGCAAATAATCAGTTCAAAGGAGTTCCTCTTAAAGTAATGCTAAGAAAAGCTGTGCTGGTTTTAACTGGGTCACTTTACATGGGATGCCTCAAAGAGAAACACTGTGTCTTAACCAATACATCTAATCCTGCAGCCTTTAGTGTCACTCCATTGCTTGGAGATAAGATCCAGCTTTCTTTTCAAAGTGCTTCACTCTAATACTGACTCCCACGCAGCTCCTGAATACTATTCTCCAACTACATCCTACACTGTCATTCTTCAAAACTGCGAGGCTCCTTCGTGCCTCGGTGGCCTTGTACATGGTGTGGTTCTCCCTGCAGTGCCTTGTCTCCTTGTTTTTGGATAAACTTATATGCATTTGTGTTGACAATATCTTTGTTTTCTATATTCTGATCCTTTGACATCATGGGGGAATTGCTGATGCTGGAGGAACTGCCTCTTGCAGGGTTGGTGAATTCCTAGACATAGCAAACAGCTGCCTACCTGCAAGCCTCCCTCTTTCATATGCAAACCGTCTAATCCAGGGAGCAGATCCAACCACCTCCATGATCAGACTCTCACTTTCTAGCTCCCCTAATCACTCTAGGGTGCCAGACAACTGGGGACAGCCCCTCCACCCAATGCCACTAAAAATCCCTCAAACTAGCCCATCCTAAGCTTGATTACTATGTCTTTGCTTGGTCTCTGCATGGAACCCACAATAGAGGCTCCTGCCTACATTTTCCCTTTACTCCCTGTGCCTCCTGACCAACCCCAGGGCTTTTCCATGTGACCCCTCTTGAGTGGATGATATGCCTGTGCCTCTAGGGATCTGTAGGTATAAGGTTCTTCCATCCTGACAGTCATTTCTGTGTCTGCCTGTTTTAACCGTAACCAAGGTTTGTCATAATTGGGTATAGTAAAACATCTTTCCAAGTGCAGCTCAAAAGCCACTTTCTCTGTGTCGGCTTCCCCATTTCTCTTCCAAAGAGGCTTACTGTTTGCAAGCTGCATTGTAATACAAACATCTCTGTCTTCCTCATTAGGCTAAGCTAAATGAGGCTAAATTTAGCCTCATTAGGCTAAATTCCATGCTATGGTTTGTCTCTGAATTCCCAACCTTTAGCGTGAGGCCTGGTGTAAGTATGTATGCCGTACACATGAGGAATATGTGAATGAAATGAAAATAATACACCCTTTCAAGCTGAATCCATTAGTAGCAGATGAGTCAGAAAATAGTAGGGTATGAATCTTTCCCTAATTCTCCCAATATGAATGGGCACTGTAACTTGTTAGTTCAAAGCACAAGTCCCTCAATTTCAACTATGCCATGTCCCAGGTATGTGGCTTTGGGAAAGGTATTTCTTCTCAATGTGCTTTGGCTTTTTATCTTAAATATAGGGATAATAGGCCAGGCTCAGTGGCTCACACCTGTAATCCCAGCACTTTGGGAGGCCGAGGTGGGTAGATCACTGGAGCCCAGGAGTTGGAGACCAGCCTGGCCAACATAGCAAGACCCAGTGTCATAAAAAGAAAAAAAATTTTTTTAAAAAAATAGGGATAATAATAGTATCTATCTCCAAGTGCTTTAAAGATGAAACAGGCATGGTGGTTCACACATATAATCCCAGCACTTTGGGAGGTCGAGGCAGGAGGATCGCTTGAAGTCATGCGTTCAAGACCAGCCTGGCAACAAAGTGAGACCCTATTTCGACATAAAAAATCAAAAAAATTAGCCAGGTGTGTTGGCACATGCCTGTAGTCCCAGCTACTCAGGAGGCTGAGGCAAAAGGATCACTTGAGCTCAGGACTTTGAGGCTGCACTGAGTTATGATAGCACCACTGCCTTCAGCCTGCATAACAGAGTGAGACCCTATCTTAAAAATATATATATATAAAAATATAAAAAGATGAAAAGAAGGAAGGCTACAGGTCTTTTTACAAACTCTTTGCTCTGCCTGTAATACCCTTTTCTGCTCCTCCTCTACTGCCTTACCCCTCCTTACCCTTGATGAGAGAAACCTTCTCTTATGTTTATGTATACAAATATGCACACATACAGAGAGAGAGAAGTGGAAGGTGGGGAAAATAGAAAAAGATTTATTTTAAGGAATTGGGTCACACAGTTGTAGAGGCTTGGCACACACAAAATTTTCAGGGTAGGCCAGCAGGTGGAAACCCAGGAAAAGGTTGCCGTTTTTTGAGAAAAGACTGCCTTTTGACACAATTGTTGTTCTTCCAGGAGGTCAGTTTTGTTCTACTCAGACTTTCAACTGATTGAATGAGGCTGACACACATTCTGGAGCCTAATCTGCTTTATTCAAAGTCCACCGATATAAATGTTAACCTCATCATATATTTTATATGCATATATGTGTGTGTATATACACACACACACACACACACACAGAAACATCTAGAATAATGTTTGACCAAATATCTGGACACCATGGCCTAGCCAAGTTTACACATGTAATTAACCATTAGAGATTGTAACCTGAATGAGGGCAAGATTCAGTTTACTGTGGCTAACTGCTGAATCTAGCACATTAATAATTATTTTCCGAGTGGACATACAGCAGTGCAGAGTGTATACCTAAATGTGTCATCTGTGGTGGATGGCGTTACACTATACAGTAGAAACTTAGAGACAGCCAGGACCCAGGAATTTAAATGGCTGTCATATGATGAAAGGAAAGTTCCCAGAACATCCACTAGTGAAGGTCTGTAAGAGGGGTGATAGGTAGAGGGAACCAACAAGGCGACCCTTTAAGCCTAGGCCCTAGGCACAGAGGGTTTTGGCAGTCAAAGGAACTTTTTTTTTTTTTGCTAGCTGTTGGTTTTTATTTCCAAACCCCAATGTAGACTGATAAGCAGAGCTGGATCACACTTGGGTCATAAGGATTACACAGTTCTCCTTTACCAAAGTTAGTCTCCTTTACCAAAGACTGACCCAGAGAGAAACACTCTCTAATAGAGTAAGTCACCTCAGATGCCTTATTGCTTCTTCCAAGTACTTGGCTCCTACCCTTGTAGTCCCAGAAGCTCCATCCCTGCCTTCTCTGCAGGAGGGAATGAGGACTGGCAGAACTTTCAGATGCCACAAGGAGCCAAAAGAGACCATGTTTGTGTCCATTGCTTTTTATCTAAGTATCAATGAACAGTCACTGAGCATCAGTTCAACAAATGGATATTAAGCACCAATTATGGGGAAAGGAGATGTAATGACCATATAACTAATAAAAAAAAGGTCAGGCAGGAATAAATATTAGGGAGGAAAAAGAAAGCAGGACCAGTAGAAGGTGAGCATGTGGGGAGGATTCTGTTACAAATGGGTGGTCAGGAACCACCTTTCAAATCAGCTGACATTTGAGCATATAACAGAAGGGGGTAAGCCAAGTATATATTTGGGGAAATGTGTTTGTGCAAAGGCCCTGTGGAGTTATCATGCTTTGTATGTTCAAGGAAGAGCACAGTAACTGATGTAGCTAGAACAGCGTGAACAAGGGGCAGATATTCTGACAGGAGGGTGGAGAAGCAGCATGGAGCCAGATGCTATGAAGCATTCTGGATGATGTGAAGAGTGGACCTCTTACCCTGTCTGAGGTGGCTACCACCTATGGGTTTTGAGCAAAGAATCAATGGGTGCCCAGCAGAGGGCCTGTACTCTGAAATAAAAGGCAATCTCCCAAAGAAAGCTTTATTTTCTAATTCACTCAAAGTTACCTTTTGCTCATAAAGTTTGCTTTCTAAGGATTACACTTTGGTCCAGATGTGCCACCTTTATTACATTCTGGCTTCTGTGAGAAGAAATGACTATGGGGGCAGGGAGGAAAGCCAGGAGACCAGTTAAAGAGGCTTTTGCAAAATCCAGGGAAGATAGGATGGTGGCTTGGACTAGGATGGCAGCAGCAGACATTTCGAAAAGTGCTTAGATTTTGAATATATATTGAATGCAGAGATAATGGGATTTCCTGACATGTTAGTGTGTGGATGTGAGACAAAAGGATTAGGGATAGCCTCAATGATTGTAGCCTGAGCAACTGGAAGATGAGGCTGCACACAGCAGGAATGGCAGGGAAGGCAGCAGGTGGGGCCTAGGCCTGGAGAGTTGGGGAGGGGCAGAAATCAGAAGTTTGGTGTACATGTGTTAAGTTTGAGATGTTTCAAGTTGGATATACAGAAGGAAAAAATAAGTAGACAGTTGGATGTACAAGTATGGAGTTCAAGGCAGAAGATGTCAGCATAGGAGTAATCTGTATAGAGATGGTAACCATGCTAGGATACTGGTTAAGATCACCTAGGAAGTAAGTATTGAATGATGTCACATGCTGCTGGGAGATTGACAAAACTGGCACTAGACTGTTCTGTTTTTTCCCCATCATGGAAATGGAGAGAGCTAAAATAATCAAATATTTAAAGGAGTTTTGATATCAAAGGGAGAGAAATTAGGCAGTAGTTGAAGGGGTATTTGGGGTCAATGAATCTAATGGAGCACATCTGTATGCAGATGAGAGTGATGCAAGAGAGAAAAGAAAATTGATGATACAGAAGAGAGGAGGGGCTAGCAAGATGGTACACTCAAGCGAGGAAGAAAAGACCCATAATGTGAGCAAGGGCTGAACCCTAGAAGCATGGAGAGTCCATGCAGAGCAACAAGGTGGGAGACAGACAAGGTGAGGACTGATGCAGAGTGAGTGGGTGGTGGGAATATATGGAAGTCCTCTTATGATGGTTGTCTTTTTCTTAGTGAAATAGGAAGCAAGATCATTAGCAAAGAAAAGGAAGACTGTCACGTCCATATCACTTTCTCTTTTGATTCTAGTGTTTCCCAATTGGACTCCCAAAGAACCAGAGCAATTGATCACAAAAATACTTGGCACCTGAAAAACAAGCATGATCAATCGCAGAAATAATGATTATTTCTTGAATGACTATGTGATCTCTATAAGCCTTGAGTGCCCTGTTGTTTATTCCTAGAGTGAAATCATATTTCCCTGGTGAAGTAATTTAGGAAGGAATGCCATTCTGCTAACAAGGTAGTCGATTCTCCTTTTGCCTCCCCCTTGTCTCTTTTTTATTAAGTAGATCAAATTAGCCTCTCCTCTCAAATTGCGTCTCCCAGTACTGAAAGCTCTGGAAAAAAAGAAAAGAAAAAAAAAACCCCACACACACACACAAACAGAGTAGTAAAGACAAATTCTGCAAATGAAGGGAACAGAACAGAGGAGATAATCTGAGCAGGCAAGACCAAGTTTGTTTTTTGGCAGACACAGTAAGAAGGAAAGCTGTGAACACTCACACATTAATGATTTTTATATTGTCACAACTATAATCAAAGCCCCGATGACAGTGTTGTCATAAAGTCTATACAGCCACTACTCTTGGCTTGGGTTTACCGTGTATCCTGGGCTACAGGTTCAGAATTCACCATGATAAATCATTCCATGGCTGTTCAAACTCCCCTTATCACACTGTGTTTTAGTATCTCTTCCCAAGCCTAAAATACAACGTGTACTTTTACACCAAATATAGAATCTCAGAGAAAGAAGCCTGGAGTTTATCTTATCCAATGCTTCTTCCAGTTCCAGAATTATTCTTATACATTCCCTGGCAGCCAGCCATTTGGACTTTATAAACAGCCTCAGCTATAGGTCGACCATTCCACTTATGGGATGTTTTGCATTATAACAAGCTGAAATCTCTCCCTTCTACTTCTAACGTGTGAATCTTTGACTACTCTCTGGGGCCACACAAGACAAAACACATCCTATCACCTTTCTGTGGGGACCCAGCCACCATCTTTCCTCCATCTTGCCCAATAAAGGTGCAATCAGTTTCTGAATCACATATGTCCTCATTTAGGGTAAAAGCTTTTTGTATAATCTTCTCTTGCTAGTAAATTAGACTTTAAAAAAAAAATGAATATGCCTATTGGATGTGAAGTTCTGAGTAGTCCTTTGCCTAGAGAGGGTTAAAAGCTTCTGTAATGCCAGCACTACCAAATTTAATGGAAAGGACAGAACTGGATGAAATTATATTTTAAATGATATATCTGCCAGGATTACTACAAGGAATGAAAGGGAAGGAGCACCAGGTTATCTGAAATTGAAAGGTAAAATGAGGGAGAGTCACTCACCCTGCATCCCACTGAACTGTCACCTCCATCCTGCTCCTGAACATCTTTCTTCTGTCACATATTCATTCAGTGGTGGCGGGCTCCAATCTTTGAGCTAGGTGCCAGAGTTTGAATGGTGAGCATTCTTTCACTTCTTCAACACCTGTTTATTATAGACCTAAACGTTGTCAGCATCATCCTACCAATGGGATTAGCAGTGAACAAAACAATAGGAAAAAACATTCTTCTCTTTGTGCAGTTAATATTCTAGTGAGGAAAATAAATGAATCAAATAACCCCACAAATATATGCAAAGTTGCAACAGTTAACAATGCTATGAAGGGAAGATTCAGGATGCTACAAGAGCATGTAATAGGAGGAACCTGAGCTAGTTCAAATGATGAGGAAAGCCTCCCCTGAGGGAGTGATGCTTGACTTGCGCTCTTGAGGATGAGCAGGAGAAGGGCTGGCACAGGAGTGGCATGTGTGAGAGCTGAAAGGAAGGCACGATTAAGATCAGAGGTAAGGAAAATCCAGACAACGTAGGGCTTGTGGGCCATGTTAAGATTTTTCACTTGTTAGCCTATGAGCAGTGAGAGTCCACTGAAGTGTTTTAAGCCAAGTGTGTGTGTGTATGCATGCATGTATAATATGAGCAAATTTGTAAGAGATCACTCTTCCTGCAATGTAGAGAGTGGATGGGAAGTGGATGGTGAAAACAGAGTTAGGAAATTATTCTCATGTTTCAGAGGAGAAATGACAGTGAAATGGATCAAGGTGATAGCAGTGGGTTTAAAAATACAGTGACAGACTTGCAAGAGTTTGAGGAGATAAACCCAAATCACGGTGATTTGAATCTGGGAGGCAAGGGAGAGCACGAAGACTGCAGAAATCCCTGGCAAGGCCTGTCATGTGCACATTCGGTCATCTGGCATGGAAGATAATGCACTGCACCAGGGTAGGCACTGTCCATTGTTAGTTTAATACGATGTTTGCATAGGACACCTAGTTACTGTTATGTAACTTCTGGACAATGGAGCAAGATGTAACTGTGGCATAAGAAAATATAACTAGATATTATTCTAGTGATTTGGCTTTCTAAAGACGTATTGTGGTGGTTGTTTACAAGTATGTAAGTTAATTGTGCTAGAGTTTCAGAATGATGTGTTTAAGGGGTATAAGTATCTGCAAGCCCCCAGTTAGGTCTCACTGAAAACTGGCAGGGCTACACACTGAACAGACGCAATCCCATAGCCATCAATTCATGCCAATCTGGAGAGACTTGAGAAATTTCTCTTCTGGATATTTAATCCTCCAGCTTGAGATTTCTTACTTTGCTGAGAATGTGTTTTTTGTACTTAGGGCAGTAAAATATAACTTAAGATGACTGAAATTCCAGGATGCTCATTTTTCTGAGGCTTTCACATAGCGTTCTGCTGGACTTCCACAGCATCAGGAAAGGAATCCTAGGTAGTCACTAAGGGCAGTGATGCCACTCGCTGGGAAAGGAAGCTCTGTAAGAGTGTCAGATTTGGGGAGGAAATGCCTCAGTTAATTTGGGGCATATTGAGTTTGGATGTCTAAGATGAAACGCAGTCACGGAGATGTTGATCAACAATACGAGTCTGGAGTTCTAAGGAGTTGTCTAGAATGCGAGCTCTAAGCATGACATACACTGTCTCAGGGGAGAATCATACTTGATCAAGAAGTATTGCATATTAGAAATGCTGTCGAGAGCCATTTCTGCAAGGAAGGTTGGGCCAGGGCCTCCCTACTCTGAGGTTCTATGATTTATTAATAGGTATTCTTAAAACCACTAAGTGTCTGAGTAAAGCTGTGTTAGCCCTGGATGAATTGGTTAGAAAGAAACAAGACTACTTAAGCCAGCCTGTGGAAATATATGAGGAGGAAACAGGAGTGTGATAGAGTCCAGAGCCAGCTGGGCCTGATGGGTTCCATAAATAGGAACTGGACTCCATCTGTAAGACAGATGATCCCTTTCTCTGGAGGGAAGGGTCCCTGCTTTTGTTGGCAGTGAAACAAAATGGCCACCCCAGCCCTAGCCAGAGTGGCCAACAGAGACTGGCCAACTCCACACTCTTGCCCTAGGTAAAATATCCTACCAGCCCATTTCCAAGTATCTCAGTCCAGGGAGTATGCCCACTGCCTGCTCAGCAGGGGTTGTGGGAACAGAATTTCTCAGAAAGGGCATTGGCAGGCTTGATAAACTGACTAATGTGTCTGCACACAACATAATGATCTTCCCATCTTTGAAGAAAAAAAAAAATTTCTTTCCAATCAACAACTCTTAATTTGCACATCCATGTTTCTCTTTGGTAATTTATTACTCTTATGCTTTCTGTCAACTATTTTCTATCTGTCACTTTCCAGTACTGGATATTAATATTTCCTTTCTCAAATTCTAGTCATCTCTGAAGCATTTTGCACTTCTCAATTGTATTTATGTCACTGTTTGATCTTGTTTTGTGTCTAAGTCGTTATCGTCATGTAATCCATCTTGAAGATGGCCATACTGAAGCATTCTGAATTTCCTGAAATATTTTAGAGCTATTTGCATCTTCTTTTCTTTTCAGAGACCTGGCCTATTACAATAATTATGAGGAGGGTCAGCCTCAGACCCTAATAAAACTGCCCCCTAAGAATGTTTGTCTCTCCTGAAAACAGCACGGGCATCTGGACATGTCCAAAATCTAACCCTTTAGGTTCTTCCCTGCTCCTTGTCCTGTGTTGCCAGACTTAGGACATAAATCTGGTTGTCATTCCTCTGTGCGTTAACCTCTATTTACTTTCTAACTTGTGTACCATACTCTGCAATATTTTCTCTGTCCTGAAGCCAAATGGTCTCTCTAAACACAGTCTTACCATGTCTACCATGTAATTCACTGTTTAACTGCCTTTAAAGTAAAGACCCCATACTCCTTTCTCCAGCCAACAAGGTTCTAATGGCCTGCTCACCCCTCTCCTACTCCTTGGGCTTAATAACCTCTTTATGCTCCTTCAGCCTGAAGAAATCTTTCTTCCGTCTCCTGTTTCCTTCTCCTTAAGGTCCCCTCCCTCAAGTGTGGGTTAGCCCCACCAAGCCCAGCTCAGATTCTCCATCTCATTCTAATCCTCTTACAATAACTGCTTTTTCTTATATTTCAGTTGTCAGGTTTACAGGTTTATCTTCCACAGGAGAGGAAGTGCAATTAGTGCTGATGTTAGGGCCAGAATGGTTGGGTTCAAAACCAAGTTTTGCTGCTACATATCTGTATGATTGTGGTCAAGTTACTTAACCTCTCTGTGCCTCAGTTTTCTCGATGCAAAACAGGGATAGTAATAGAATCTGTTAAACAGTACATCATTATATTCTCTACATTTAGTACTATGGTAACACATAACCAAGCCTCGAATATCTATAGAATAGTGTTCCAAACGAAGGTAATGTTTATTTAGGACCATTGCAATAGGTTCAGGGAGCACTGCACCTGAGGTTTCACAGCCAGGGAGAGAAATTGGCCTCAACTCTAAACACAGCAAGTTGGGAATGTACAGCCTAGAACCAGGGTGAGGCTCAATGGATGGAAAATAACTAAGAGGAAGCATCAGGGGTGAGGGAGATCCTGACTCAACTGACCCAGCAGGATTCTTGCAGAAGAAAGACCAGGTGATCAGACCCAGGGGGATGGTGGAGGATGAGGAACTCACACTGATAACAAGGGTAGCATAGGGAGTTATTGCTAAAGCTGGATTTTACAAGGATAGGGGAAAAGAGGCATGAGAAAGTTCAGATGCCCGACTAAAATTTGGTCAAGCAGAAATCTTTGTCAATGGACAGTGAGTGTTCAGTATTTGATTGGAGACAGACCAGTACTATCTTCTGGTCAATTGTTAAAAACATATAGAACTGAAGAATACCCAGGTTCTTAAAATGATTCAAAATATTAGCAAAAGTTGGCAAAAATAATGTTAGAATAGCAGTGTTTCCAAGTATATGCTGAAATTAAATTCTTAAGCACTCTGGAAAGAATACAAAACTGTGAAGTTAGATCTGGGTTTGAGCCTTATCTCTGTTATTTATCTATGTGTTCCATAAGCTAAATCCCTTTTTTCTCTCTGTCTTGGTTTCTTCATAAATGAGAATAATAATGCCAATATTATATAAATCATGAACTAAATAAGATATGCATAAATTACCTATAGTAGAACTTAATAGAGAAGGTAATTAATATACTGGGTTTCCCTTGGTAAATCACCTTCTGTCTTTTATACAAATTTATTTTCAATGTAAAGTACAAAAGGCAGTTGGAAGAGATAAGAACAGGTAAAACTTTCCTGTTTATCCTGTGAATATTAAATAGTTAAATCCATAAACAATAAGATAGCTAACATTTTAAAATAGCAAAGTGTGCTGGGCACTGTTCTATGTATCTTATATTAAATACCTCAATTATCCTCCCCACAATCTTGTGAGGTCACTACTAGTGTTATCCTCTTGTAACAGTTGGAGAAGTTTTCAAAGAAGACCAAAAGATAATCAGAAATAGAGAAGAATAACTTCGTGACAAATCTCAGAGTCCATTCTGAAACCCATGGTAGCGTTGAATGGGGAAGGAAGCAATCATCAAAACGATAGATTTTCCTTTGCTTGGAAACTGGAATTTTCATAGTAATGGTACCTTCCTCTCTCTCCTCCCACATTCAGAAAAAAGTTACTGCATGAGGTAGAACAGCCTGGCCAACATGGCAAAACCCCGTCTCTACCAAATACACAAAGGTTAGCCGGGTGTGGTGGCAATGCCTGTAATCCCAGCTACCTGGGAGGTCACTTGAATCCAGGAGGCGGAGGTTGCAGTGAGCCAAGTTTGCGCCACTGCACTCCAGCCTGGGTGACAGAGTGAAACTCTGTCTAAAAAAAAAAAAAAGGTAGAGTCACTGCATATGCTTAGAACTTATAGAAGCTTGATTCTTTTTTATCAGCAGTGCCCTCCACCACCTGAAGATAAGACTTTTTAAAATAGTGATTGATATTTTTCTGTCATAGTTATTTCTTAGCCAAAAGATAACCCAACAGTTGTTTAGAGTAGCATTTTTTTCAACTTCACCATGCACAATGGTCTGTGTGACTTCTTCCCCCACTACCCCAGGATTCAAACACATTCATAAACGTGCTGCAAAATCACCTGGGTTGCAAAAACATCACTTCTATAAAAGAGTTACACCATAACTGTTGGAAATTAACTGATGATAAATGTTGTCTAACCCAGAGAACTATATTGCAATGAAGTTGAGGATTTATCGATAAATGTGATAATAATCCTCTATCTTTGTTTACATCTGTAATTAATGCAGTTCAGGAAGGAGCCCTTGAAACCTTCTATAAACAAGATTTATCCTTACTGGAATAGATTACAGCCATATGTCACCATTCAAAAGGTAATTGGTACATTTCATTAGAAAGTAATTGAAAAAAATTATTTTAATACCTTGTAATAAATAATCTTGATAAACATTATTAGCAGAGATATCTGTACCATGTAGAGAATTTGCTTTGCATCAAAAGATGGCATATGCTATATATCATTCTTGGATTTTTCTGAGGAGCTTTTACGTACCTTGTGATTGAATAAAGACTAGTACATAATTACATACTGAGCTTTCCTTTGAGAACAAGTCCTCCTTATAGCCGCATGCCTTTAGCATTCCCCTGACTGGCATTGACAGTCAGTCCCTAGTTTACGCTCTATCTCTCCGGTGAAAATCTCCCACATGTATTAACAAATATTTCTAACAGTGGCTTAAAGCAAAGGCCTCAGAGGCAGTGAGGCAGTGAGACTAGGTTATGAACTCTCATATTTTGACTACATGGAATTGATGATAGGATCTATCTCTCAGGGTTGTAGCAAGCATGAAATGGGATGATACACATAAAGGATTTAAGTAATTCTTGGAATACAAGAAGCATCCAATGAATATTAATAACTAGTATTATTATCTTTTCTATCAGTGTCTTACTGCCCTGATCTTTTAAGATGAGATATCCTAGGCTGATCTTTTATTTAAAATACATTATAAAATCAAGGTTAGTATATATAAGCAATTTTTCTCCATTTCTGTGTTACATCCTACAAGAAAACAGTAAAATGTACAATATTCTTATTGCCATCCATAGGCAGAACTGAAAATAACTTCTAACATCCCATGAACCATTCTCCTCATCAAGGCCCTGAAGTGAAAACAGAACAGTTCTTTTTAGAGTTTCATAACTTTGTGAGCTACTATGTAGATTAAAGTCATTCCATTTAGGTCTTCAACAAAGGAAGTGTAAAAATCCCAAGAGGCCAAGAAGAATGAAATTATACTTCTGACAGAGAACCACCTGAAATAGCAAAACAATGGCTGAAAAGAGGCGAGTTAAAATTTTTTCATTGTGCATCTCCGATAATTAAGCAGCATTTGAGAGGTTTTCTCCACCTCCTTTCATAATTGTACCACAATATACTCCAGACCTATACTAAAGACAATGTACACATATATTACAAGGATATAATTAGAATTTTTATTACCTTTATTTTTAAGTTAAGATTCAGAGAAGTTGAACACTTATCCAAAATCACAGGTCTACTAAATGTCAGACCCTAGATTCTGTGAGGTTTTTTTTTTAGCTTTTAGTTGAAGTTCAGGAGTACAATTACAGGTTTGTTACATAGGTAAACTTGTGACATGGGTATTTGTTGTACAGATTATTTCATCACCCAGGTATTAAGCTTAGTAACCATTCATTATATTTCCTGATCCTCTCAACCCCCGAAATGCCCCAGTGCATGTTGTTCCCCTGTATGTATCCATGTGTTCTCATCATTTAGCTCCCTTTTACAAGTGAGAACATGCAGTATTTGGTTTTGTTTTGTGTTAGTTTGCTGAGGATAATGGCCTCTAGCTCCATCCATGTTCCTGCAAAGGACATGATTTCATTGTTTTTTATGGCTGCTTAGTATTCCATGGTGTATATGTTCCACATTTTCTTTATCCAGCCTATCATTAATGGGCATTTAGGTTGATTCCATGCCTTTGTTATGGTGAATAATGCCGTAATAAAGATATGTGTGCATGTGTCTTTATAATAGAATAATTGATATTCCTTTGGGTATATACCCTATAATGGGATTGCTGGGTCAAATGGTAGTTCTGTTCTAAGTCTTTAAGGAATTGCCACACTGTCTTCCACAATGGTTGAACTAATTTACACTCCCACCAACAGTGTAAAAGCATTCCTTTTTCTCCACAACCTCACCAGTATCTGTTATTTTTTTACTTTTTAGTAATAACCATTCCGACTGGTGTGAGGTATCTCACTGTGGTTTGGATTTGCATTTCTCTGATGATTACAGATTTTGAGGTTTTTTTCATGTTTGTTGGCCACGTATATGTCTTCTTTTGAAAAGTATCTGTTCATGTCCTTTGCCTACTTTTAATGAGGTATTTTGCATCTGACAAGAGCAAAGTTTGCAAAAATGTTCTCCCATTCTGTAGGTTGTCTGTTTACTCTGTTGATAGTTTCTTCATTTCTTTGGCTGTGCAGAAGCTCTTTAATTACATCTCATTTGTCAATTTTTTCTTTTGGCGTTTCATCATTACATCTTTGCCCATGCCCGTGTCCATTTTGAATGGCATTCCCTAGGTTGTTTTCCAGGGTTTTCAGAGTTTTGGGTTTCACATTTAAGTCTTTAATCCATCTTGAGTCAATTTTTATGTATGATGTAAGGAACAGGTTGTTTCAGTCTTCTGTATATGGCTAGCCAGTTATCTGAGCATCATTTATTGAATAGGGAGTCCTTTTTCCATTGCTTGTTTTTGTCAGGTTTGTCAAAGATCAGATAGTTATAGGTGTGTGGTCTTATTTCTGGGTTCTCTATTTATTTTGTTCCATTGGTCTGTGTGTCTGCTCTTCTACCAGTACCATGCTGTTTTGGTCACTGTAGGCTTGTAGTATAGTTTGAAGTCAGGTAGCATGATGCCTCCAGCTTTATTCTTTTTGTTTAGGATGACTTGGTTATTCGGGCTCTTTTCTGGTTCCATATGATTTTTAAAATAGTTCTCTAGTTCTGTGAAGAATGTCAATGGTAGTTTAATAGGCATAGCATTGTATCTATAAATTGCTTTGGGCAGTATGGCTATTTTCACAATATTGATTCTTCCTATCCATGAGCATGGAATGTTTTTCCATTTCTGCCATCTCATTTCTTTGAGAAGTGGTCTGTAGTTCTTTAGAGACATTTCACTTCCCTGGTTAGCTGTATTGCTAGGTATTTTATTATTTTTGTGGCAGCTGTGAATGGGAGTTCATTCTTGATTTGGCTCTGGGCTTGACTGTTGTTGGTGCATAGGAATCCTAGTGATTTTTTGCACATTGATTTTCTATTCTGAGACGTTGCTGAAGTTGCTTATCAGCTTAAGAAGCTTTTGGGCTAAGACCATGGGGTTTTCTAGATGTACAGTCATGTCGTTTGTAAACAGGGATAGTTTGACTTTCTCTCTTCCTATTTGAATGCCCTTTGTTTCTTTCTTGCCTGAATACCCAGGTCAGAACTTCCAGTACTTGAATATGAGTGGTGAGAGAGGGCTTCCTTGTCTTGTGTTGGTTTTCAAGGGGAAATACTTGCAGCTTTTGCCCATTCAGTATGATACTGGCTATGGGTCTTGGGTCTAATACTTAGTTTATGGTGTTTTAAACATGAATGGATGTTAAATTTTATCAAAAGCCTTTTCTGCATCTATTGAGATAATCATGCTGTTTTTGTCTTTAGTTCTGTTTATCTGATGAATCACATTTGATTTGCATATGTTGAGCCAAACTTGCATCCCGGGATTAAGCCTACTTAATTGTGGTAGATAAGCTTTTTGATGTGCTGCTGGATTCAGTTTGCCAGTATTTTATTGAGGACTTTTGCATCAATGTTCATCAAAGATACTGGCCTGAAGGTTCTATTTTTTTCTATCTTTGCCAGGTTTTGGTATCAGGACGATGCCGCATAGAATGAGTTAGGGCAGAGTCCCACCTCCTCAATTTTTTGTCATAGTTTCAGTAGGAATGGTAGCTCTTCTTCATATATTTGGTAGAATTCAGCTGTGAATCTGTCTGGTCCTGGGCTCATTTTGTTTGGTAGGCTATTTATTACTGCCTCAATTTCAGAACTCATTATTGGTCTATTCAGGGATTCAGTTTCTTCCTGTTCTGTCTAGGGAAGGTGTATGTGTCTGTGAATTTATTCTAGATTTTCTAGTTTATGAGCACAGGTGTTCATAATATTCTCTGATGGTTGTTTGTATTTCTGTAGGGTCAGTGGTAACATCCCCCTTGTCATTTCTGATTGTGTTTATTTGAATCTTCTCTTTTCTTGTCTGCCTAGCAATCTATCTATTTTATTAATTTTTTTTCATAAAACCAGCTCCTGGATTCATTTTTTTGAAGGGTTTTTCATGTCTCTCTCTCTTTCAGTTCAGCTCTGATCTTGGTTATTTCTTGTCTTCTGCTAGCTTTGAGATTTGTTTGCTCTTGGTTCTCTACTTCTGTTTGATGTTAGGCTGTTAACTAGAGAGCTTTGTAACTTGTCCATGTGGGCATTTAGTGCTATCAGTTTCCCTCTTAAGACTGCCTTAGCTGTGTCCCTGAAATTCTGATACATTGTTCTTAATAATTTCAAAGAACTTCTT